GCTCTTCCACCCGTTATTGTATTGACACGGGTGAATCTATGGGGGCTTATACTCTCTTCTCCGTTACTGAGGTTTCCTCGATAATTTCTTGCTGAGTGTTTCCATTCTCGTTGAGATTCATTGCTACTGTGTGATTCTTAGTCATATGTGTATCCATGAGATTTCTTTACGTAGTTGTCCTTTTCTCAAGCAGGGTACGTCATGAAGACGAACCAGCTCAAATGGCATAGCAGATATGTGAACCATTTGTGCTCTGTTTGTCAAGACTAGGGTTTCAAGGACTGGGTCAGGCGGAATTTGAGCACAAGATACACGAGTGGCACCAGGACGACCGCTTTTCGCCTCATTCAATCTTTTGATCGTAGACTCCGAGTACCATGGACTATTCATTACATAGACTCATAACCCCGGATTTAATATACACTCTCTCTAATAGCCGTTTGGTCTTAAAGTTTGGATGGTTTCTAATGCGGATATGCTCTATCGTTTTCATCCGACGCGTGGAAAGACATTGTCGATGCAAAAAGCCAGCACAAATGGAGTGAAAGCACGAATAAAATACAACAAGCAGTTGAACAACTAAATCTAGAGTGATTTTGGAAGACGGATTAATCACGAGGTTATGATTCATTTCAACTAGGATAGTAGCAAAAATGTGAAGTGAGACACTTTGGCCCGCACATATTTGCATGGTTCGTCACTGGGATTGAGAGTTCTGCCCACGCTGCAAGGTCCCATAGCAGCCCCAGAGTAACTTCGTTAGATTTCCTCAGTTCCTCGGTTGGTCTTACGGCATATGGTAAGCCTCTCCAGAGTCACGGCTAAGCCAACTGGTATAGAGTGAAGGTCCCTCAAGCTAAAGCGGCTAGGGAAGTCTGTTGCGTTCGAAAGACCTCTCCAAAAATTGAGGTTGAATGGGGATCATGCACATTCATTAATAGTGCTAGAAATAGAATAGTTTTTCTCGTTTAAACACGCCGCACAAAAGCACTGTCATGTATGATCCTACTGCGCATCATACGTATAAGAAGACTCGATGGCCTACTAGTTTGAGATATGTACATACCTGGCCTTTCCCAAGAAACTTCTTTCAAGGTCTGATCAATCAATATGCGAAGAATTTTGAAGGTCCTTATGCGTAAGTGTACAATCATGACCAGAGCGTTCTGCTATGTTGACTGATTGATCTAGGACGCGACCGAGGAGCCCAGAAAAAGTACCGGACAAATTTCAGGCTGGACGTCCCATTATCCACACCTCGGTCGGCTCTCGATGAGAAGATCTTCAATCACGATTGGTCTCTAAAGCAAGGATGGACTCGCCATCGAGGCAAGGACTTTGTCGGCAACAAGTCTTGGATATTTACGAACCTGGCTGACTCGAGCCTCTGTTTTGACGAGATGCAGCTAAGGCTTTATCGAAGGCTATCATATGACCCGGTGTTCGAGAATGGCGGGGTGAGCTGGCAGTATAGGAGGGAGCCTGAGATTTCCTCCATCACCGACAAAATATCTTTGCAAAGAATAGCGCCCTTGTGTATCGAGCCTTCACGTGTTTGAATGTGGCCGCGATCGCACTAGCTATAGCTTCACTACATTACATTGATTCTCCTGCAATATGATACAGGCATACTGTGCGAGATTCATTCTGGTTGTGACCGTACATTGCAGGAAGTCGGTCTAAGGAGTTGATCAGTAAATGCCAATTATCTCCAGCTTGTATATGACCTTTCCAATACGACTCAAGGAACACGTGCGCTTTATCCTGAATCACGCCTTCACTAGCCATTGGAAAGCTATATTCATTGTCAAGTTTGTATACTGGAATGAACTAGTTGGGGTCCAAGTCCGGGTTATGCCCCGGATTTCTGTTTTTGGCATTGATCTGTAGATCGCATGTGGTTCTAGAAGAAGCTTCTCCATGAAGACCATGGAGATGAGTTCTGATTTGAACGGCAGAAATTGGAATGTCACTGTGAGCTCTGGCATCGTGGTGTACTCCAAAGGATTGAGATGTAGATCATTTGGGCGCCATGGCTGCAGAGTTTAGTCGCGCGCTAAAGAGATCTAAATTTTTCCTATTTGCTCTGATAATGGACATAGAGAGAGATCGGTTGGCCATAGGGAACCAATTACATGGTGACTGAGTAGCCGTTTAAAAGTGACTCGCATCATTGGCAATGTTGGCAGCCTCAAGGAGATGAGTGATAATGTTTGTCCTAGCTTCCATGCCATATGGAGTTACTCACCTGCGCCAGGATACATGTACATGTAAATACTGTATTGCTTACTCGGATTTTGTATTGAAATGTATGTGGGGATGCAAGAAAAACAGGAGAAAATTTTTCAACTCCTAGGAGTCACTCCAAGCGCATTTTCACTCACCTTCCAATCTTGCCAAATGCCACTAGGTATAGGTTTAGGAGTAGAAGAGAATTACAAATGATGTCATCGCTCACATAAACTATCCGTTTTTCTTCGAATATTTCAAACAGCTGGCCAAGCTTGTTTAGATCAGACTCTAGCGGGGGGTTGGAATTGAGGCCCGAGCATCACGTAGAGCATCACGGATAATATCTTCAGCATTAGGTCCAGCGTGAAAAGGATCGCCTCTAGTCGCGGAGACGTAGAGTCCCCCAAGAGGTGGAGCACCGTTCGATTGGGGCCTGGCTGATGTGGCCACACTGCCTAACTATATTGACTCCTATCTGGACAAAGCCATCATTTGGTCCAAATTCAAATCTTGTTATCGTGTTATGAAGATTGTTGAGACAGGGGTTGAAAATGAGCAGTTTGGGGCAAGAAAAGAGAGATATAGAAGTTATTCGATGCTCTAAGAAAGAAAAGCATGTTGAACAGATATGAGGCGAGCTTCTATCCAAGTGTATAATGGGTGAACACGCCAAGGGAGCCTTGAATCAGCCCTCTGAGATTGACCTCCGTCATTTGTACGCAATTACTGAGGCTTGCACGGGATTGGATGGGGGCAAGCCCCGCTTCTATGCCCATCGCCTGAATCCGGATGATGCAAATCAACACGATCAATTCCGCGGGCGAAATGGCTGGCCTTGACCCAATACTACTGGGGAAGTTTCAGTAAGCAGTAAAACCTATAGCTTGAAAATGAAATTTGATTTCGGATTTCGAGAGGCACCGAGTCTATGTCGAGCAAATTTATGGCATTTGAACGATTACAGGAACAAATCAAAGCTCCCCTCAGGAAAACTAATGCTCATAAGAAACATTGAGTTGCTTGTCAGGGATATAGATGAGGCATACGCGCTAAGCCGAAGACGTGGACCCACATGGCGCATCTGGGCTCCCCTGAACGCGAGGAAGGTAACTTGCTTTTGCTTCCTCGCGTTACGTCTTGTATCTAGAGTCGACTATACCTTTTGTTAATATGACCCTTCATTGAAAAGACACGCTCTTCATCAACAGATACGTGATACCCTCACAGAAGAGCTCAATATTGAAAAATCCAATTTCCGTGATAGGAGGAATTTGTCACCACATGTACATTTTCGCTCCATTTTGCGCTGCAATCCCGTTTTAGTCTTCAAATGCTCGCCCCCACGTGCAGTAATATGTGCTCCGGTTTGCGCTCGAGACCAATAAGGTTCTCCACGAATCTCCCACCCTCTGCCCTTGTAACCCGTAGATTTCTCTTCTCCCGGGATCCTGGGATCGCGCACAGACTGGTCACTCCGAATAGGACGCTAGCGAAGCTTGGGCTCCTCCGTCCCGAGTGAGAAAAACATTGAAAGTAGAATCTATTTGTGAGGGCTGAATGGGCTGCTGATCTGCATCTTGGAAGTTTATCACGCTGCCAATGAGAATTAGGCGCCCATACACCGAAGCATGTATGTATTCCTCCTCGATGTCGGATAGGGGCAATTTCACCGCAATGTAACCTTGCATGGATGACCCCATGCACCGGAGCTGATCACGCTGCAGATCTAATCTCCTACACCCACTCCACAGCTGGAACCGCTCTAATTCTAGCCCCTCTCGGCACTTCATGCCAAGTTTCACATCCGAACGCCATGTATGCGGTATGCCCTCAAATGTTGACGTGGCCTTTCTTTGCATAGTGAAGGCTTTTCAGTAATATTTCAAGGTTGCTACTTAGGTATCACCTACATACGAATTCCTGTCTGCCTCGTGATATTTAGTGATGCTTGCTTGATTCTGTTGATTTCTCTTGTTCATTGGTGGGACTTCACTTTCATGCGGGCCAGTAGAATCAATGGGGCAGAGCAAATAAGTTAGAACTGTCTATACATGCATGTGGCCCTCGGGGTCTATTTACAGAAAGCCTTAGATCGATAGTCGGTTTTACCCGACCCAACATTGAAATCTTGGTCATGCGCAACCAAGACCCCTGCCAGTGGTAACGGTATTAGGGCTTAGGGCGGATATGGAGGTTAGAAAGTAACTTTAGAGATCACGTCTACAGTCGTTCAAACCTGGTTGCCAATCGCAATACCTAGGTACCGATTGCCCGTTTTAGTACCGAGCGGGTCAAGGCCCCCAAACACCTGCACGTTCTAATTTAGAATTAAAGGTGTGCTGGAAGGCGCATTAATTCCAAAAGCCTTATTCGAAATTCCAGGTACAGGGCTTCGAGGCTGATCGCATGTTGAAATTCGAATACCGTGTCAACTTGAAAATCTTTGGAACACTGTCCGATCTCATTCACATGTGGACTCGCGAGTTCTTAAAATAAACATTTAATACAGAAATGACATAAATGTCAAATACGCAAGACTGTCGATAATAAGTGATAAAAAGAATGATATTAAAACCCCTGGAGTGCTGGGGCTGTTTAAGTTTAACATGCACATGTGAAACTTCCACATGTGCAGATGTCCAGGCCTGTTAAAACCCCCACATGCGATGCCCACCTCAATGGAGTGGGGCATGTTGACCAGGTTTTCAGCTCCCCATAGCGCTCCTAATGTTCCTACCGTTTCTTTCTGCAGATTCTATCATGGCATATCACCCCCGAGGCTCAAATACTACCTCATATCGACCAGGCTGGGCAGTAAGTTGGTCCCGCATGTCACGCTCCACAGCCTCGCCAGTTTCGCCAGGCGCAAAACGAACAATATAGCGAGAGAGCAAGATTGTGACAACTAGCCGGATCTGGGTAAGAGCTAAATTCTTTCCAACGCAAGCACGTCGGCCTGGTTCGTGTAAGCTAGTTGCAAGTCAAGCAGGATAATAGGTACCTACCAACGCCAAAAGGCGCAAAGGAGTCTTTGTCCCGAATCATTTCAGGTCGACTATACCAGCGCTCTGGGACGAAGGACAAGGGATCCTCGAATGACCTCTCGGCTATATCACGGGAAATTGATTCAGATGTCAGCCCTCTTTGCTCAATTCCCTATCTTATTAAGAACCGGTCAACTGGTTGCTTACATCGAAAAATGGTGTACTTCGGAGCAGCAAGTTTAATACCACCTGGGATGTACGTCCCGTCAATCGTCATGCCTTGTGCCGGAGTCATCCGTGTACCCATGGTCAGTGCAGCTGGGATAAGTCGCATCGTTTCGTTAATAAACCCATTCAGGCATGGCAGCTTTGACAGGCCAGTGATATCTGAAGGATCAATGTTTTTCACTTCTTGATACACTCGTTCGGCATATTCAGGATATGAAGCCATGAAGTACCAGACTAGAATTAGACTTGGACCAGTCGTGTCGCTAAAGAAGAGTCAGTACAGATGTAGTCACTTGCGGTGCCCGCACATTCAAGAATTGAAATTTGAATCGTTAAGTCACATTGATCGAAACTTCTCAGCTTCACGTACCTTCCACCCACAATTACCGAAACGGTGTTGCCGCTCAGTAATTGCTTCTTGCCAATCCAGTTCTTCTCGTTGCGTCCATTGTGAAATTCCTCAATGAAATATGAAGCGATGTCCGGTTGAGCAGGCGCATTTTGAAGCCTCCGCTCAATGCACTGGTCACAAAAAGATATCATCCCCATCCAGTCTTTCACACGCCAGAAACGGCCTAGAAAGGCGAATGCCAATCGAATTGCCCAAACAGTATGGTTAAGGGATCCGAGAATGGCAAGTGCCGAGCGCTGTTGTATAATAGCGCGATGCCAGTTCTTAGTCTTCATCATATCGAAGCTTTCGTTGAATGCAAATTCGCCCATGGAATCGAATGCAAACCATTGCATGATGTCATTAGGCGAAATTGGCTGACCCTCCATGCCAGCAACGATCGATTCCAGCGTTCCAATCTGCTGGAGAATTCGAGGCAAGTACTCCCTAATGGCTATTCGTACCAGGGTCAAATGCGTTAGTGCTTTTGTCAGAACATGCCTTGCAGGAGAGGGGAGATTCAAAGTAGATCAATAATAGGGGGACTTTACATTTCATTGACAGCGCCCGATTCCAGACCTTTCGCCGTTCTGTGTGGTCTTCTTCTATGCGAGAGAAGATAGGAGAAATGCGCGGATGTACAATATCGTACCAATCCGAGCGAATGTTCGCATTGCCGGCTCCATCCAAAGCCTCCCATGCCTTTGGGTGAAAAATTGTGATCTCGGCAGGGCCTGGTATTCTCTGAGCCGCCTGACCCGTCGAGGAATCTTGTTCATGAATGCATAACTGACCTGTTCGTACAAATGTGCCATACTTCTTGTTCAATTCATCAAGGAACAGATGGTTTCTCGAATCCCGACACTTGTAAACACTCCACAGTTTACTCGCAGCACCAAGGCGAGGACCAGGAAAATGACGGAGTCGATGGAAGAAGAGACGGTAGATGATGATGCTACTTAGCATTCCAGATAGATAGAAGCAGAGGCAAGTCAGCCACCACATGATTATGCTTAAAGCTGTACCGTCCGTTCTTTGGCGTATCTGTACAAGTATTCCAGTAGCGACGGCAGCCACATGACAGGAAACAACAACGGGTGCGCGAAGGTGCCATTCTCCTCGTATGAAAATGGTCAAATGAGCGAGCAAACCCAGCATAGTTGAGGCTATAGTGTTTTCCCAACCCATTGTGAACGTGTGGGATGTTGCTTCAATCAATAATTCAATGTTGCGGATTCCAATGTTCCAATGTTTAAAGCGAAAGGATCTGGCAGATAGAATCGCGGGAAATCGTCCATTGAGTAAGTTAACTCGGTTTCGAGAGCCGCCCCAAAGTTATAATGAGAAAATGCTCGGCGCATACCTAGTCTACTGATCCTATTCAGGCGGGTGGGCCCTTGTGCCATATTGAACGATGGCATTCTCTGTCTCCATACTATTCCGCCAAGTTCTGGAGGTTTGAGCCAAGGGCTCCACTTTTCTGGGGGCCGTAATCGTCTGTATGCATACCAAATGATACCGGCAAATTTCGCGAATTCCGATACGGCCCTGAATGTTTGCCCAGGTAGCGCAAATTGGCCCGTGCAATGGCTAAACAAAATGCTGTCCACCTGGCCAATCGCGCACTAACATTCTTGATACTATATATGTCAATATGACAGCGCATACTTTCGACCCACCGCCTTGGACGCTTCAACCGTGGAAGTGCTCGGAGTCTTCGATTTTTCAAATGTTGGCGAGGCCTCCAAATCTTGGTAGGAGCTGCAATTCTCTGCCCTAGATAACACCAAAGTAGTGCCAGTAGTTGAGTCTATTGAATAGAAATCCTCGCCGGCAATTGTTCAATATTTCCGGGAATCGACATAAAGCTCCGAAGATGAAGTAATTAGGTTCGTTTTTGGAGACTGGCATATTATCAAAGCCACTGAATTACCACTGGCTGGCTGGCCCAAACATTGAACCTTTCAAGGTTCCGAGGGTGAAAGGTTTGAAAGTTTACCTACGTAATGTATTGATTGCACGCATGGATCTGGACATATGGAGTAGTCTCTGAGGGGAGTAGTGGATTCAGCCCGCAGAGGCACGCACGAGCAAATCCTTCGGTTTGAATCACAGTGCCAAGTAATCCCGTCCTTCACACTCGCGTCCTGACGTACATGCATGGGGCGGGGTACATATGTCGATTTGCATGTGTGTACCTGTACGGAGTAAAAAAAAAAATTGAACTTGCAAAGCCGGAAGCCAGCCAGAGCCACAAAAATAGAAACTACGCGCAGGTCACTGAAACAGGAGTTGATCATCTCATATGTATGCAACCTGTAGGTGAATATGCACGTGTGAGAGACTGCATTATCGATTTCGGCTTCATTCGGCTAGATGTGCGACGATTTCTCGGACGAAGGGCCAAAAAAAGACCCAATCCCTGCAAGTACGGAGTACGTAACATTGCAAATGTTGAAAGGTCCACTTGAGGTGGGTACTGCACCTATGTAGCACGGGCCACAAAGGCTTAAGATCTTCGTTATCTATTGATGAGAAACAGTCTCGACCCCAAACGCGGCCTCCTTACGCTAAAGCTTAGCGTGGGCGTTTATCATGCATGCGGCTGTGGGGACAATTGTTGGTTTGGGGGCCAAGGGGAGAATGCATTCCGGCCCGTAGATTTTGGAAAATCCAATGATGAGAAATGAAAGATACATAGACCGTTAATTACAGTACTCTCCCGACCACTTCCAAAGTTCATTCATCTGCTAAATTTTTGACCTTTCCCTCCGCATTTTGATCTTCGATCTCAAGATCCTTAATCATGGCTACTCTCGTGTCAAAACAGATTGCTGTAATTGTCAGCTTCGTGATCTTGAATTTACTGGCAATAATCGCCATGGGAATTCGGTTTTATTCGATCAGAGTTGTTCGCCGGCAGATCAAACGGCATGACATCCTCTGCATTGTGTCGCTGGTCATGCTTTTTGCATACAGTATCGATCTTCTTGTCGGTGAGTGGAATCGCTTGTACAAATGATGAAATTAGAATCCCCATCCACATATATGCTTAACCTGGACATGAAGGCTGACCGAAAATCCCAGCCACGGTAGATGGCGGAATCGGTCTCCACGTTACTCAGGTGTCTCTCCCTACAATGGAGGTTGGGTTAAAGGTATGTGCATGGAACCATATTACCCCTGATGCATAATTCCACATCGGACTTGTATCTCACACATGCATATACTCTGTGCGGCTATCAGGCATTCTTTTCATCTCAATTCTTTTGGGCCATATCTATTGCTTGCTTTCGCCTTGCTATTCTCGACTTTTATGTTCAGACATTCACCACCAAAGGTTTCCGCTGGTCTGCGTATGCTGTGATGGTCGCTGTTTGCCTTTTTTTCATCGCCAGTATCACTACGACATTGCGACTGTGTCGGCCAATTGCGTCGAATTGGAACAAGAGCATCCCAAGCCAATGTGGAGATGAAATGACGGCGGAGCTAGCTGCGGCAGCATTCAACATGGCTCTCGATGTGGGGATTGTTTTTCTACCACTTCCAGTCATCTGGGGCTTGCAGATGGATATACAGAAAAAAGCTGCCGTAATGGCAACTTTTGGCTTGAGCTTGGGGTATGCATGACCTTATGAACATCCTGTTCTTCCGTATATTTCTCCTCCGGTTTCTGACATGGACATTATGTAGGATCGCTGCAATCAATCTTGCTCGCATTATTCAGGTCTTGCGATGCAGTCTTGCTGACTTCACATACTGCACTGCGAATAGTGCAATCTTAACTGTGGCTGAGATGGCCGTCGGTATTATGGTGGCCTCTGTGCCGATGTTTGGTGCTGTCGTTTTCCCAGAGCGCCGTCGTCGTTTTAACAAAGGCTATCGGTACGAACCAAAAAGCCATTCAACCTTGACGCGCCTGAAGAACAGCCGACAGCAAAGCGCGACCCAAGCTAGCATTGACACAACACTAGATCAGATTCTAGAGGATGGCCAGACAATTCCTGTCACCGAAACCAATCAAGTCTTATGAATTACCCCAGTGGATGGCATGGGGAAGCAGCCAGCGGACTAATCAAACTGGGCCAACGAGGATTAATCTGGTGTGCTAGAGGGTTAGTAGTATAATACATAGGACTAGTGTCCTGAGCTATACCGATGGAAACGTGACCTTACAAGGGATACGCAGCGCAGTTAGACACATGAGACCTCTTGATTGCTTGTTTACTTTTACACTTCTACTTACTGACCCCTGGTGGGTCACCAATCTCCCTTCTTCTGTCTTATGGTGATAGAGCATGCCATGTTGGGACTACGCGTGCACAACTTCCAATGTTGAATGTTTGACGACACAGCACTAGGCTCCTCAATCCAATGTGCAAACGAGGTAGAAGTTCGTCCGCTCGGGTATTTCCTCACCCTGTTGGGTCCCACATAAAAAAGTGGATTTCATTTGATATTCAAAAGTTGTGTATACATATGTAATAGATGAGTTATTCAATGGGTCAATACTCGCGCCTACGGATATGTAAAATCAAGTAGTGCTATTTGAAAAAGGAGCGCTACCGGGAGCTGAAACCCGAAGGAACATTTGAAAGACACGCGCTTGGGGAAAGGAAGAAGGAGAGAGGTCTGGGCAATCAATCAATCAAGAGATCTAGGCAAACATACCGCCTAGATCCTCTTGCACTATTTTTAGGTTGACTCTCTGCTAGGTAGCGGTGGTGACCCAGGGCCGCCCCACTTGAATTAGTGCGTACCGGTACATATGGAATAGTCTGTGATTGATGTGTCAATATGCAACCTTGGCAGGGAACATTGAAGTCTAGGTAGAGAACCACATTTCCGCGGGGGCCCCAAAACAGGCTGCGGGTGACTACTCGATACATAGTACTGACCCTCGGCCGCATGCAATAGGTATGTATGTATATCTTGATTCCAACATTTGAACCAACAGCCCCCAAAGTAAACTGACCGTACAGGGAATGATCTACGGGACATCGGGTAGATCGGCAGCCAATAATGTTCAAATGTTGGTATTATGCCGATCTCGTTGTAGGTAGCAGTCGGAACTACGGACAAATTCTTAACAATGCCAAATGAGTTTCGATGGATAAGTCTGAAAACCCCGATTTGAGGAACACTCAGCGGTTTTGCTTGATTTTAAAGTTAATTCTGCAGAATTAATCGAAATGTGTAATCGGTCCTCTCTCCCCTGCTGAATACATACCCCTAGTGGGTCCTAAGCCTCGCGGAATTTGTGCCATGACATCTTACTTATTCAATGTTGGTAGTTGACATCAATTGGTGTTGATGCCCCATCATGAGATCATGTGAGATATACAATTTCCTTGCCCGCTAAGAATGCGTCATTGGTAATGCATACAAGGCTACTAACCATGCATTATAAATGCGGAAAGTGACTCGGTCTTCCTGAACTGTACGCTTAGTGAGTGAACGGGTACTGACCCAAAGCCCTAGCACTAACGGTGCAAGATACCCGACCGGGGAAGAAGACCAGTAGAAGGGACAAAATAGGCTCCAGGCAGTGACACTGCAAGCGATGCTCCATCGCGCCTTTTCATCCCCAATAACCAAGGGCAATGTGTATCTACCCGCAGCAGCATCCCCAGGCTGGTCGTACATATCTTGCACGTGAACAGTCGTACCAACAACTAGACCAACCAAAAAAATCCATGATATAATTGATAGCGATGGCGCTGCTTGCAAAGCTACTTCGAGTGTACCAGAGGCAAAGGACGTAAACCCTGCCGCGTTGAGGAGGTTTCGAACCAGCCAATGATTATCTCCGCCACCAAAATCATTATAAATCGTACCAAAGACCGCTAGCAGTATACTTTGGACAAAGCCGCCCCCTGCAGCTATGCTTGCAGCAATGGCGATCACAATTGATAGCCTTCCAGCTGTGTGAGCCTGCGCTGGAGTCAGCCGGCCAGCCGCAATTGGTCGCCACGGCTTGTTCAACTTGTCTTCTGATATAGAACGCGGGCTTCGTTGGTTGTTGATGGCGAATCCGAGGAGATTGAACCAGGTGTATGCAAGCATGAGAGGCAGGCGGGAAAGGAATGTGATCCAATTTAGGTGGCCGGAGTGAAAGTAAGCGAAGGCAATACTTGGAAAAACCATAGTTTTGAGGTCATTGACACAAAACTGCCAAAGGGTATAGGTGTGATATGCGGTTGACCGGAGCGTCCAAAGACAAGCATCCTCCATCAGACATTGCCAGCTTCGCAGCTTGTGGGTTGAGTGGACTGCAATGCTTGTTGCTGTTTGCGTGGACATGCTGAGTAAATCGAATAAAATGAATAGAGCAGGAGTTCACAAAGCTGTCGATTTGAGGAGTGTTGAATCGTACGATTGAAACGGATGGAGGGATGGGGTTTTCAAGGTGAGAATTTAATATCAATCAATCCTGGGAGCAATCGATTGCTCAGGTGCGTTGAGTATGTATGTAACTCTTGGAGGTGTGTCGATGATCTCAACTTCAAATATTCAATGTTTGAATTGTTTCCAAGGTTGGCGGCAGTTGGGCTACGTATGTATGTTTCTAAATATGTTTTTTTTCCAGGGCTTCCAGTCCCAAACTGCGGCATACGACCTCGGGAGCCGGGAACGGATACTACTAGCATGCGATAGTAATTCCTAATTCCGAGAGTGCGAAATCTTTCGTCATTCAAATTTGGCCCCTATCCGTCAAGAAATTTCCTTGGCCTATTTTGGTAGAAAGGTCTAAACTGGAATAATTCATTTTGGTTGTTCAGGTGGTGCTATAAATGGAACTCTCGCAGAACCTGCTGTATGTGTCCCTCCTACATAGTGTAAGAACCCGTGGGTCTTGTGGGCTGCTAATTTATAGTCTCAAATCTGACCAATCAAATATAAGATAAATGTTACCAAATAATACATTTTTCCAAGCTCAAATACCGATGTACTGTGACATGTACAAAACTTGTTTTGTCAGCGAAAGATTACGGCTTAACGGCCCACTCCCCACCGCCATCTGTGCAGATCACTTTTAGTTTACATAGACTGAGAGGAGTTTTTTAGTTCATCGATTTCGTGCAACGCATATTTGTAATCAGCACAGACCTGCATTGAGACATCGCTGTGCTCCAGGGCTCCACCTTTAAGGTTGCCTGTCTTTTCTCGTGCCTATTTAGCCCCAGTACAATCCCCAATTGCCTCTTAGCCAGATCAATATTCAATTTACAGATCTCAAAGCTCCTCTGCCTTACTTTTCGCAACAAACTTCTACACATCCAGCGAAACAAAAGCTGAACTTCATCCATTATTTGGAACTCTTTGTTCACTACCTAACCTGAGCACCCGCCATTATGTCCGTGAGAGCACTTATTTACGCCTACCGCAAGCCTGGTCTCTCTCTTGAGGACTTCAAGAAGCACTACGAGGACCACGCTGAACTTGTCAAACGGCTCTCCGGGGAGGACTTTCCTCTTTCACACAAGCGCACCTATGTCGCACGCAGCACCGTTGGGGTCGCCTCTGAGGATGCTAGTGAGCGTAATGCGCTGACCCCCGCCACCGTTCTTGTTGGGAAACAGTCGCACTTCGACTTCGATGCCTATGCTGAGCTTACGTTCACCGATAAGGCAGCTTTTCAGGCCTTCAGTGCTAAGATATACGCCCCCGACGCTGCTGCTCAGATTGCAGCCGACGAGGAGAAGTTCCTCGATAAGTCGAAGCTCGGAATCGTTTTACTTGGCGATGTCATCGAAACTACCAGATAGAAGTCGTTCACTGGGCATGTACTAGATCAGAACCTAATGGATCGTTCGATGGATGCTTATTTTTACAAAGGGACCACTATTGTTTGAGGGCACCTGGGCGGATCACTGGCAGTGGAGAGGACGGAAAACCCCCAGGAAATGATATATACCATAATCCAGTCTAGGGAACTAAGCATTACCACATGTGCACACCTACTCAAGTGCTGTAGAAGGACTATGTAGTGGCACAAAGCACTAGGCGAGTGTGCGGGAAACATGCTGATCACGCGGGACACTCAAATGTATAAAGCATCAGACCACTTCCATCTCCCTGACTACCCATGGAACTCCCTCCAGATATCCGTCTCTTCCCAGATTCCCACTGCTTCCAGTGGTGGGCTTGCAATCTTGTCAATAGCCCTGGAGTCCGCACATATGCAGGTATAGATGACGACCCTCCCATTACACCAGTTAGTCCATTGTGGTATCTCATACAGGGTCAGCAAGAGCCGTTGTAATCGGATTTTCTTGCTCTTGAACATCAAATTCAAATTCTTATACCGTACTGAGCAAGCATCTACCCACATGCTTTGGGATCAACAGACGAGTGTAATGCAAGCCAGCACATAAAAATATATCAATAATGCTAGGGTGTTTATATTAATACCGATGCTGGCGCGGCCATGCAGACCATTCATTCTACCATATTTATAGCAATAGCGTAAAGACTTAGATAATGTCGACCTGCCGAAGGCGTAGAAGTCTCATGTTCTGCCATAGCTTCAATCGCACTATGAAGTGGTCCCCTTTGAAGACCATATCACGAGTCATATTTGGTATGGCTCTTTTTATGATAAATCCTAGACATTTCTTCCTGTAACTTGTTCATCTTGGCCTCTAGAACAGATATCTTGTCGTAACCTTTGGCCAGGGTCGAAATGGATTCTTGAACCACTGCGATCCAGTGGCCTTGGTCTGTTAGCTGCTTAACGACCGATCTGATTAACGAGTCAGATGGAAGTTTCACCTCGGTTAGGGGCTTCCAAGGGCTTACTGAGTTCGTCGATTTAAACTTGACTTTTGTAAGCTCCAACACATAAGTGAAGTGACTGACCATGTAATTGCTCGACTCATTTGCTGGCGTGGGTCAATGGTCTCTCCATGGTTCAAGCCAAAGGGTTGATGAGAACCTGTACACCAATTCCGGTATTTCTGTTCGAATTGCCTCGGCTCCAAATCAGCTTGAAAGTAATCTCTTGTGATTTAAAATACCACCTTGGAACTACCAAAAAACCCCCCTCCTCAACCACCGCAATTTCCTCCCCTAAATGGTCAAATCCTACCTCCGATTCCAGTACACAAACCACCAATGACCTCGGTATAAACTCTCGAACTCAAGCAACGCCAATTACATCTACCACGGCAAAGGAACAGTTGAATACCAACCTCGACTGCCATTCCAATCCGTTACCCGCCACACTAGACCCAGAACCGCAACAACCACGATCAACCTGTTCTCCCCAACCTCTCCAGCCGACACGGGTCATTACTTCGTCGCCCCATAACCAACAGCCAACCTACGCCTCTATTCTTCAACGCCCCGCCTCTTCAACGCAATCGACACCTAAACCAGACAAACCTGTCCCTCCCACCATACCCACACTCAGAATCGAAGGTCTTCATCGCCGTTTTCACAATAAATCATCACCTTTCCAGCTCGAGAAGAAGCGAAGCCAGCGCTCAATGAAACGAACTCGGAACAAGCCCGCAACTGCTACACAGTCACTGTCTAGATTCTTAGCTTCTGCTTTACCCGCGTTCTCGCGGTTTCTAACAGAGATGCAGCCAAAATCGGATGCTTGCTATCCGTCGCATTCGCAATTCAACTATAGCCGCGCCATGAGGGCAGCCTAACAACGGGGGCGGCAATGGGCCACGATAGGCCGTGACGAGGCTCTAAGTTTATGTCAGGAAGTGGATCATTCTAGATGTACACACTCAGATATATAGTTGTCGTATACTGCATATCGCTTTTTGCGAGGGGTCAGTGTAAATGAAATCTACTACTACTACTACTACTACTACTACTACTGGGTGTATGCCGCGCTCCCATAATTCCTCGACTTTAATCTAATGCGATGACTTTGGACAGGAACCTTGCATGGGATGCTTGGCAAGATGCAATGAATCCATACGGACAGACAATAAATGGATTTCGGTTGGTTGAAGGCTGGCATATACGCCATCTGTTATGTCTTACCGCAGGTAGTCTCATACTCAGTGCTTGCGTCGTAGCAGTATCGACTGCAATTCAGGAAGATCTGGAAGCAGGTCTGACGGCAGGCTCATATGCACTTGCAATCACAACACTTGGTCTGGCGGTTTTGACATTCCTGAGCGCTATATTTTGAGCTGAACATTGATGATAGGCTTAATTTTCATAGATACAGAGTTTGTGTGACTGGTGGTAAAAGACATGCAATATTCGTGTCCTCTCACTTACGAGGGCACTTCGTTGATTTGATCCTGTCGTTCTATTTCCATAGAGCCCCACTATGCCCCACCAATAACTAGCGGTGACCTCAAAATATTGAGCCCATCATTATTATCGCTCGCTACGCTAGGTGGAACCGAACAGGCACTTCACTCAATTCTAGGGGGTCCACGCTTTTCTGGCTCCGAAGAAAAACCTAACGTGATTCGAACCTCCTAACGTAGGGAAGAAGATACAACATGCCTAAGAGACTTCCCCAGCCATCGACCCCACCGGATCTTTCTTTCATGCAGGCTCTCTCTTGTCTGTATACAAAAAACAGCATATATCTGTGAAGAGTGCTCTTATCACAAAGAACAATTCATCTTACACCCTCCATTGGTTTGCGCAGAGGGGATACTAATTGGTAGTCTACAATCACGTATTTCCTCATCTGGAATAGCGTTACTCTGACCAGAACTAAGAGATGCGCTGAAGTCTAATAGGGTAATAAGATCCGCGGGTACATACAAATGTGTAGATCACTGTAGTATGGGCATCAAAATTGGAAAATGTAGGATAGAGTACTGTACATCCATCCCTGGCCACCTCAAAGTGGGCTTGGTCTAGGGAGACAATTTGATGGGTCTGCTGATGGCAAGTTTTGGAACTATTTCAGTTCTGGAACTGAGGTTTAGAAACTACTGTAATTCGAAAACTCTAGCTCGAGAACTACGGTGGTTCCAGAACTAAACTTTGGGAATTTAGGTAGTTCTAGAACTAAATTAGTTCCAAAACTTGCCATCAGCCCATCCGCCAAACTGTCGAAAGACATATTACTGAAAGAAGTTAACACCATAACCAGTGGGCGCCCCGAATCTCTAATGTCTGTTCATACTATCCATCACCTCCTAGGTTCGACTGTTTTGTAGACTGTGCAGCGTTGCTATTCAAACAAGCCGCGATACGTCAATGTCAGCAGATACCAGCAAACAGCAGCATCATGAAGAGAACAAGCAAAGGCTTAGTTGGGCTATAGAAAAATAGCAAAGCACTCCTAGGTCGTGTCAACGAGCTCGCAAAGGCTTCGACTGAGGACCAGAGTACAGGGCATACGAAAGTTGGAATTATTGTTAGAATCGATGTTGGTATTGATCACCCAATGGCGATCAAGCGCAATGAATGTAAATTAATTTTCATACTTGTACACAAATAATGGCAAAGAAACCTTGGAGAGTCGCTATTCAGCTTTTTTTTGTTCTTATCTTGCGCATGATATCGATACGTCTGGGGTTCAAATGAGCAAAATGATAGCATGCTGCCGCCTCTGCCCAATATCTGATCAGGTGCGACCCTCTGAGCGGCATTATGAGAGCAAAATTGTATTAGAACCTTATAAAACAGGCAGAAATGAATTTGCGGTGGAAATAAAATTTCAGACAGTCGCGGGGGGTGCAGAGGTATTAGGAAATGCACGGACCTGCACATTGGCAGACAAGGGCTCGTCGAGTAGCCAATCATTTACTGTTGCAACACGGTGATTTTTGGACGGAGCTCCCTCCAATTGCAACACCCACTGTTTATCACCGCTTGAATCCATTGAAAGGTCCCAGATCGTTTAAGTATGGCACAAACTCAACCGTTGATCAGTGCAAGCCAAACGCGCCAAGAAATAGACCGTTCAAGTCAATTAAACTGCTAATTTTGCTCGCTGTACAAAGAGCTACGTGCGCTTTTATGGACGTTAACTCAACAGCGCTGGTGGCCTATCTTCTTTTTATGCCTTGGACATGTTTTTAAAACGGTGAAGTTTCGTTAATACTGAACTGACAGAGCATTTGCTCTTATTTTGCTCAAAATTGATTTCATCGACCCTTAACCGTAGGAGTGGGGCGACCGATCCTCGTTGACGGCGATTTTCCCTATCCCATTATAATGAAATAGAAGTATTTAGATATAGCGGGGGACTTGAGTCCCTCATCAAATTACTTGATTGTTTTAAGTGATCATTGAAGTAGACTTTCTCAACTATTTGGGTCAAAGGACTTTTCACTGCAGATTGACTTGGTGAGGATGTGATATTTGGTGTCCATTTAAAAAGCCAAGGTCGTCTGGGTGGTTCTAAATTTCATACATGTAGCCAAATTTGAGCCTTCAATTGAATACTAAGTCGTCTCTTTTTGAGAAGTCCATACTTTAAAAACACCACTTCAAACCACTGCCTCATATTTCCTTAATACGCAGACCGCCAATAACAACAGCGAAAGCAATGTCCGGCCAATCCTCGACCAGAAAGCTGATGCGTCAGAAACAATGTCGCCGCAGAATAAATGTGATGAAAAAGGCATATGAGTACAGCAAGTTGTGCAACGCAGATGTATGCATGGGGATTCGCATGCGGGAGACGGGCCAGGTACATATTCTGTCCGCAGATCCATCGGGCTTTTGGGCTTTTTTGACTACACAACTGGTAAGCTTTACCATGACGTCATTTAAAGAAACAAAACGCTAACCCAATTAGAGCGCCTACTATCCGACTCCAAATATGGTAAACGATCGTGATTTCAACAAGGGTGGGAAGGAAACAACGATCAATAGTGTGCACTAAAAGCTACAGACGCTAGATGTAAATCTGTCAATTTGTGTTATTGTACTTTAGTTACTGTGGAAACTGACATATGCATACTCCACCTGACATCAAGAGTCGATTGAATGTATTCGCTTCTTTGTCGTTTCACTTTTCTACTGTAGCTTTTCATATCTATTGAATTAGATTATGGTACTTTTCATTATTGAATGCCGCTCAAATATGAGAACGGAATTGCAGGGGTGTCCACTTCTACTTTGATTGCTGGTGCTATACAAATATCAGCGTTCTCCTCTTGACACACTGGCTTGTCTGCGTGTCAAAACAATGATTGTATTTATAACCTTGAATGATCAGGAATCTCGTCATATAAATGATTTTGAATCTGGGAATTCTGTTTGTATAGTGTAGTTCGAAAGAAAGTTCTTTATCAAAATAATGTATAGCCAGGTCGTAAAAGCAGACATCCAATTTTCCTGGATGAGTATACATACATTAACTACAGTACTGTGTCTCATACTGAGGTTTGTCTCAAGATACTATCTGTCTTATGAAACTCTTTGTCTTATGAAACTCTTTGTCTTATGACACTCTTTGTCTTATGACACTCTTTGTCTTATACCAAGGCTTGTCTCAAGACACTAGCTGTCTTGTATCAAGCTTTGTCTTGCCTAGCAAAACACGGGACTCATACTCCTGGAGACCTGATGCTCCTTTTTGTGCAAGTTTTCCATTTTCAGCTTACACAGGAGCGTCTACTTAGTACCAATATCGCTTTCATCAGTTGAATAAAGCGAAATGGGGAGGCAGTACGTCGCCCTGCATGACTTGAAAAAATTGAACACGGCCAACTCGGTATTAGACGATAAACCTACTCTAGAGGGTCATTCAAACCGCTTTCTAGCAAGGACAATTTGTCTTGCACCATTCCTGCCTTTACGTAAAGAAGACCAGCGTCAGATTGACGAGTTGGTAATCTGCAATTATATACTTCCCAATTAGGATTAGTGTTACTTTGATCAAGAATAAAGAGATGCGCTAAACCCAAATAGTATAAGAAGATCCGCGGCATTCAAATCATATGTACAAGACCGTTCTGCCTTCGGTACAGTGCTTGTATACCATTGGACTTTGAAGCAGAAAGTTTGTCCCGAATACCATGATGATCAATGAAAAACCATCATAAGTGAGCCCCTTACCCAGAGTAAATCTACATCCCCGAGCTAGCCCGGACTCGGAATGGGCCGGAGTTATCCTCACAAGCAGGCTGAAATTTTTTTTGACAAAGACGTGGGGGGTTCAGAGGTATTAGGGAATGCACGGGCCCACGCTCTTGGCGGAGACTTTTTTGTTTGATTAGCCAGTCATTTATTATTGTAATATAAATCAATTTCAATATGACCGGAGCTTTCAACTCACAAGCGTTGATCGATCGAGCAAGCCAGAAGTGTCAACAATCGACCGTCTAAGTCAATCAAACTCTGGTTTATGGTCAAAAAGATACACCCTACCCAAAAAAGGGAGGTACGTGTACTTTTGAGTAGTAGTTTACATCCCAGGAGAAGTATATAGTAAAAAAGACTTTTTGCACTTCCTCCGTATGTTCTCGGCAATATCTGGATTTGTTGAACCATGTAGATCCTGAGGCATGCGCGATTGGGGACTTATATGCGCTTTATGGACTATGTACATTGATTCTACACTGCTGGCGAGTGATCGTTCTTCGTTCCTTTACGATGAAGTTCCGTTATTTTTAAGTATTCGCAAGGCGAGTGAGGCTGTAGCTGGACCAGCTCGTGAATCGAGCCGCAGGTGGAAATAAGGATGGTGGAAGTTATCTAAAAGAATGCACTGTCTCCTGAATTCCTTTTCGTAGGAATCTTGATACCCTACGTAGGAACTCCTACCTAAACCTCTTCTCTATGTAGAAACTCTGATATAAATTGACTTACTGTATCTCATATGCGAGTATCAAAAAATTACACTTCGGCCATGAATACCGTTGATCATGAATCGACGACGGTGTTCATCACTTGAACGGGATGGCAGCAGATGTTGATACTTCAAAAATATCTCCATCGAGTATTCATCACCAACACTGTTGAACGTTGATTAAACAACGCTCACCATAACGTAGGTACCAAACGTTTAAAAAGCACCGAAAGGTAGCCTTCAGATCACGTGCATTTGCTATTAGTTTGCTACCCCCCGGATCGACACAGAAATCCTTTTCGATTTTCATCCTTGATACCTAATTTATTAGGCGTCAAACAGCCCTGAAACAGCCCCCGTTAATTAATAGAGCAACTAACCTACCTAAGTTACTATGGATACAAGTGGGAAAGATCACCGCAGATCGAGCCCCACTGCGGGATCCACTCAATCCTGCTTAAGCCAATGATATGCAGGTCTATATTTCCTTTCACTGGTAGCTGCTTGATGGCCACGTCCCCTTGCCTGTCCCAGGAGTTGAGTTTGAGGCTCTGGGAGGGAAACAGTTCCCAATGCCTTGTGAGCTGTGTCTGGGACTGACGGAGGTGTCTCTGGGAGCATTATTGCTTGTTCCCAGGAGCTTTGTTGCTCCTGAAATCAAACACGCAATTCCTGAAGACAGCTGTAGGCTCTCTGGAATCAATAGTGTCCCTGAGTTGAATTGCTCCGCCAGTTACTATTGTGAGGGCTCTGTGATACGGCAATTGAAGTTAAATGTCGAATTTGGCCACGTCAGGGGAATGTACAATCGACGATTTTTATTATTCTTGTAACCTGATTTCCATATGAACGTTGATCAACATGTAATTTAGGAAGATAGTACAACCTAGATACGGATTCCGGTACAGAAGACCATTTTGAATTGATGAATTATTTGTTTCCCTTATGAATCTGCACTTCCTAGTGGTTCTTTTCATTTCGTTCGACTGGCGTAGGATAATAAGACCCCTAGAGATATCAGAGACGTCGTAGCCATATGTTTTCACCTGCACAAGCGACGCTAACTAACATTTATTGTAACGAGGAATTCATCGAATGCTCTCTGGTGCACCCTCATCATATAAATCATTCCAGAACATCATATCCTGCAGCTGTTCCTCTTTCAAGTTGGCATTCACGAAATGCTCTCTTTGTGGGGTCCTGATCCGACGATGGATTTCCCCTGCGGTTTTCCATCCAAAAAATCCCGCCATTTCCCAGTCAATAAGCCCCACAATTGCATCGTTGTTAACTATACAATTGGACTCGGTGAAGTCGTTATGCATAAAGCTCATATCTGGATCGTGATTGGCGGCTGAAAAAATGATGTCTCCTTCTAACGGATTGATCCGGCCGTTACTAAGTATGTTGGGGTCCAGTACAACATGAGAGCGAGCTTTAAGTCTTTGGGTTGGCTTGATAGTGTGAAGCTGACGTATTATCTTCTTGGCCTGTTCTTTATATGATTTTCTTTGTTCTCTGGACAGATATGGCCATGCAACAGACAATCCAACACCTGGAAGCCTTTCTTGGACGAGCACTTGACAACCATTGATCTAAAGAAACAGACATAAGTTATTGGGCTCGATAAACGGAGACAAAGAGAGATTACTTTTCCAGCAAAGTAAATTTCTGGGACTTTGACACCACTCAAGACCGTCTTTGCCAGAGCAATTGCCCGAATCTCATTTGCATCAGCGTATGAGAAGTCAATCTCCGGAGATTGTCTCTTTCCGGTCGCGTGGAGATGGCTGGATTTCACAATGACGCTACCTAGAGCGAAAACATCGCGACCACCAGCATCAGCAGGATAGATCCGATTCTCTTCGGTGCAGAGATTAATGACTGACGCCCAGTATTCCAAGGATTCTGAAGTGTGAGAGTTGATATGCTGATTATCGACGTGGAAGTCATCAGGTTTCGGGCAGTATCGACCATAACAAGGCACGTCAGCGTATAAGTCCGCTGGAGGGATTTTATCTGGATCTGCTTCATAGGGGTTAGTCATTTTAGAAGACAGGTACAACAGAGAGTGTGAGGGAATATTTTGGATTCTAAAGAGGGGTAATCTATCTTAAGTTTCTGTGTAGCAGATGTGAGCTAACGAGACGGTCTGTAGGCAGACGGGCATAGACAAGGGCCGCAACGGTAATCACACATGGTTGGTTGGCTGGATCCCTGTGCAGTCATGCTCATTAATAATGCGCCTGGCTAACTAGAGCCTGATAGATCAGCGCGTTAGAAAGATTTTCATTGGTTTTGCTGCACGTGCATTTGCATGTATCACAATCGGGGCGCTAAGGAAGGGGTTCGTGCAAACATCCAACTGAATCACCACATCTATTTGTTATTCCCATTGGCTAGTCAGGGGGTGCGGTGCAGTGTGCGGCGAAACGCTATCTGACGGGTTCAACTTTTCTCGGCCAGTCAGAGCAGAGAGCTTTGTCGTGAGACTGACAATCGGGCAAATGCCTCTCTCTACATGTAGACGAAATTGAGCGGGGTAATATATTTCAGACAGAGCCATCGAAAATCGTCTATAAAAGGGCTTCGCCTGTTCCATCTGAAGACATCTGTCAACCCAGTTCAAGAAACAGACTCAGTTACATAGTCCACATATTCCCTCAAACATCATGGCTGTTCGATGTTCTGCTTGCGGTCAATGGATCAAGACGACCGGTGGGGCTCATAGCTGTCCCGGCAGCGGCAAGGCCAAAGAAGAGCTGCTTGATGTTCCCAACAATATTGAGGCCAAAAAACATTTCGACCACGACGACCGCGACGTCAACGACGAGGGTTCTGCCTTCTATTTCCTTTATCTAAGCCGCTAAGTCGAAGAAGACCTGTGAGTAGTCAAACCACCGATCATGGTTGCACAAGTTAACGCCGAGTGGAGTGAGCAGAGATTGTATAATTCAGGTGTTTTCTGCTTATGTAGTCGACTTAGCTGGAATGCCAAGAAGGAAAGCACAACATAGTCTTGGTTGCGCAAGCTAGGAATTCGGTTAGGTACCATGGCGTACTGGAAATAATTCAAAATCGATTGTCATACCAAAGAAATTAGTAGTGGCAGACTTGAATGCCCTTTAGACGCTTATATGGAGGTCTTATATCAAGGTTGTCTCAAGAGAAAAGCACAATGAATTCTTGTTAAGGAAAACACTGTCCTCAAGCTCGTCCAGTTGTTATGCGTCGTGGAAAAGCCGCAGATGGTGGTGAAGTAGATCATTACAGACACTACGGTGGAGCTCTCAATATAATTTTACCTCAACTACGCAGATAGTCTTGAAGAATTTGAAGCAGAGATCTTTCTCACAGTCCAGTATCTTATGCCAGATATTGAGTAACCGCAAGGCGGGTGTGGCCGTAGCTGGACCGGCCCGTGACTTCAGCCGAAGATGGGAAGAAGGACGGTCGAAAGTTAATCCGAAATGGTTTCTGCTGGTAATCTCAGAAAATGTACCGCCTCTCCGTACGTCCTGTAACGCGAGGCCACACAACTCGATTGATTCGACGGCCCCTCTTGCTCAATAAATTCCAGTAACCTCATTGGCTCCCTCTTTTTTGTGAGGATTGAAATATTTCACTCCGTTGTTCTTACTTATTAGCCCCTCAGTTGACGTAAATCGGTAAACCGTTGATCATCCATTAACGATAGTGTTCCCCGTTTTTTTTTTCCGTTTTTTTTTCCGTTTTGTTTCCCGTTTTTATTGCTATCCCCTTTTTGATTCGTTGATCAAACAGAATCCCTCATTTATTATGTGTTGAATGTGGTAAGACGGCTGCAGATGTTGATAACACGAGGAATTTTCAATCGAGCGTTCACCACAAGTGCTGTTGAGCGTTGATTAAACGGCCTTGATATAGGTGTATGTATAAAGAATGTATTCTCCAGATCACGTGAATTTGCTAATAGTTCGCGAGCCCCCAGATTGACACTTAAAATTTTTTATAATTTTCGACCTTAGTGCCTGATTTCTTAGACTTCAATAAAAGTTTTGACTCGATGATCCATCTGATCGCCGAAATATGACTCAAGCGGGAAAGATCATCGCAGAATCGAAGGCCACTGCGGGATCCACTCACTCAGCACCGCTTAAGCCAATGAAAATGAAGATCCCGTCCGCAATCCCTGTAAGATCTAGGCCTAGGCCTAGAATGCTTGGACCAGGAGAAAGGGAGCACTAAAAGCGAGCTCATATGACGTATAGCCTTCTATGCCGTTCGGGCTCTTCAGCAAGCCATGCTGTGACTAATTTCCTCTCAAGAGGATTCGCCCAAGAGCCATATTGGCTTGAAAGGAGGGTCCTGTTTCGGAGCTTCCAAGCCATGTCTTTAAGGATGATCTACCCAAGAACAAGCTTCTATTAACTCCTTCTCACGATTTCACTCATAATACTCTCCGCATAGTCCCGGATTCCACACAAAAAAAAGCTCTTATTTCTCTCAATCTCCCAAGATGTCTCGCACCGGGTGACATGGCTCATATCTCCCATGCCCTCCCATTTTCGGAAACACAGGCCTATTTTTGGTCTAAAACGACTGTTAACTCTTGCTAGACGACGAGGTAACTGTAGGGACAGGTAGCTACTGAGCAAACATGTCCCTTTGCCCGTCCCTAGAGCCGAATATGAGGCTTTAGGAGCAGCACAGTTCCCAGGGCCTTGTAAACCGTCTATAGGATTGATGTAAGGGTCTATAGGAACAATAATGCCTGTTCCCAGGAGCTTTGTTGCTCCTGGAATCATATACACAGTTCCTGAAGATAGCTGTAGGTTCTCTGGGGTCAAATAGAGTGAGGGTCTAACGTATCTTTAGATGAGGAGTGTGTAAAGCTATGGTCGATTCTAGATACAAGACTTAGCGCGAGGCAGTAAAAGATAGCTTCCCCGCGTTTAGGGAATCCAGAAGGGCCATGTTGGGCCTTCTCCTGCGCTTATCGTGTAATACCTTATGTCAATCCCTGACACTGTTGCAACCATCTCTAAGCTCATTGATCGAGGTTTTACTATTCCTGGGAGCTTAATCTGCACCTAGAGATCTGCTACAGATTCCCAGGACCGGCTGAAGCGAGTCCAGGAATGTAACAGTAGGTCCCAAGAGCCTTGTTGCTCCCAGATGTGCAGGTACAGTTCCCAGACGCAGACGTAGACCCCCTGAGATTGGTTGGAATTCCCACGGAGTTGACTCCACCTAACGTAGCGAGCGATAATAATGATGGCTCGGTATTTTGAGGGTACCGCAAGCGATTGGTGGGGCAGAGTGGGGCTTGATGGAAATAGAACACCGCATCAAATCAATCAAATACCCTCATAAATGAGAGGACATCATATTGCGTGTCTATTACTACCAATCCCACGAAATCTGCACCTGTGAAAATTAAGTCTATCATTAAAGCAGGTCCGCTCAAAAAAAAAAATCGCCGCTTCGAAAAAATAGGAAACGGCAGGCACATCGAAAGATGATACAGACAGCTTAAAACTGATCTTTGATATTGATGTGATTTAAGTGTAGGGAAAGAGGCACCTCACTAAAATGAATTACAATTTTAAGATGTATGCGAAACGGCTTGTCACAGTTACTCTTAAGACCCGTCGATCAGCCAGTTATTTTTAGTATGATGCGGGAGAAATATCCGCTCACGTAGATTGAAAGAAATTTATGAATGCAAGAATATGAGGCTTTCAACACAGCTGCTCTACCATTTTATTTCTACCGGCAGCTCTTTAGTTGATGGAAACATTACTGCTCAAAACTGATGACCTCTTTAGAAATGTCAAGCATTAAACAGGCCCTGCGCCTATAAATAACGTGTCCGCCTCCAGTCTTGATTGTACCATCCAGGAGAAAATTGTTGCAAAGCATACCAGCGACAATTCACTTATCTTGCTCAAAGGTTGTATTCGACCAGACGCCAGGTACGTCTCTCTACTTCCCATGGGTTCTGTTGACAAGTTGACGAAAGGGAATTTCATCTCCAAAGGTTGAGGTAAGAAGAAGTGATTCGTATGACATATGGAGGATGAACGGGGTAAGCCTATCCTAACTATACTCAAGACCTCTCGCTGACTTTATGGTTCGTGTACGTTCTTAGCAAGATCACAAAGGAAAGAAAATATGTACAGCGGGCGGCTGGATGATGGTAAAGATTGGTTCTGTAGATGATGCAATTAAAACTTGACGCGGTGAAGGAACCAAGGATTTTTTGGAGACCAAGAAATGTGCTAACAAGCCAGTCTAGTCACCAATTTGACTAGTCAGTAGCCAAGACGAACGGTCAAAGCGCTGGTGCCTGAGGCACCAAAAGCTCGAGTCACGGGATAACTGGTAAACATCAACGCGGGTCTCCCCCTCAGATTCTTCCCATGTCAAACAGCCGGGACCCCCTGCCATGTTGGCCTCTATTTCATATCATTAAACCATTTGCTGAAGATTGCTTTTGTCAAAGATGGAACAAACAATCGCCGAGTTAAGATGTCAGCTCGAGGAAGAGAAGACAGCGCGAGAACAGGCAGAAGAGCGCGAGAAGCAGGAAGCAGAAGGAAGGCGCCAGGCAGAAGAGGAAGGAACTCGAGAGAAGACAGCGCGACAACAGGCAGAAGAGCGCGAGAAGCAGGAAGCAGAAGGAAGGCGCCAGGCAGAAGAGGAAGGAACTCGAGAGAAGGAGAAGACTCGACCAACTGCTTTCATCGAACTCATCCGACTTTCTCACAATTTGCTCTCCCGACCGTTGAGGGTCGAGACACCATCTCGCTCGACTAGGGGTGAAGTCCCTCAGCCCACTGGAAAATACTGTCCGACACGTTTGGAATGTTGGACAGACTGCCCAGAGCAACAGTCGGAGTTCTACAGTTCCGTATGCAACTACCTACAAGTGGCACCCGGGGGGGCGCCGCGTTTGTTCTCATCTTTGCATGAGTTAGAAGGATTGGGCAGGCGACTTTGCCGCAAACCTATAAGCAGCGAGCAAGAGCTGGAGGCTTATGAGCGGTTCGCTGTGGAGGAACACGTCTATGATATAATACAGGAGTTGTGCAAAATTCCCGCTGCTCGCGAAGAGTTCGGCCTCGGCGATGGCATTCAGTTCAGCAATCATACGAACTCCTTGACCGCGAACACAGCTGTTGAGGCGGAAGCGAGCCAGCCTTCAAGCATACAACACCCAAGGCCTGATCAATTTTGTATCCATCGCGTCGATGGCGTCACAAAAAACCTTCTAACAAGTGTCGAGTACAAGCCCCCGCACAAGCTTCCCGTCGCAACCCTTCGAGCCGGACTTCGACCAATGGACTTATGGAAGTATTTGGTTCGATCAAATAAGATACCCACGGACCAGGAAGCCAAGTTGAAATACAACGCAGCGAGACTTGCCTGCTCCGCTCTTGTTCAGGAGTATCATGTGATGATCCAGGAGGGGCTCGAGTATTCCTACGTGACCAACGGGATCGCCCGTGTCCTGCTCCGCGTCCCACGCGATGATCCTAGCACACTTTATTACTTCCTTTGTGATCCTAACAGTGAGATATATTCCAAAGACGGAGGTTCTTTCCAACAGCCCAGAAGTTCCATTGCACGGACTCTATGCCTGTGTTTGATGGCTTTCCGCTCACCTGTGCGCGGCCAGGAGTGGAGGAATTCTGTGCGACCTCATCTTCGTACATGGGAGACTAGTTTTGACCACACTCGTTCTCAGTTTTCTAATACAGAACTGCAGCAGATTGTCCTCCACTCGGACAGCACAACCATGGATTTCCCGAGTCCAGAATCTGGCTCATCTTACGCGCTGCCATCATCTCCACCGGATTCGCCCACAGCGGGCGGCCGTCGAGTG